TAAGTATTCCTCAATTCAGCTGAACCTTTTATCTAAACATTTATTTTTGTGAACAGCATCAAGAGGGCCAAAGCTAACAGTGGATGGAAATTTATTTAATTAGATCAACCCCTTATAGAGAAAACCTGAGGCCCACTGATTACAAAAAACTATGGTTTAGGTTAGACCTCCTGCAAATAACCAGCCTGACACATACATTTTTTCAAAGTTCACAGATGCAAGTTTACATTTACGTGATTCAAAGCAAAACCAGAACATACATGTACCTGATCAAATGGATTCTCCAAATCCTCGAAGAGTCCTTCCTCTTCACAGTTCCTTAAAAATCTCGTTGGTGTTGGTGTCTGATCTGCAAACAGGATATCATATAAGGATGACCATATTAATTGACAACAAAATTTAATTGTTCATCCTGATCTGTTGAAATAAAGTGATAGCTACAGTATAAATGCATACCTGTGTGGAAATAACATACTTAGTGTATACTAAAACAGTGGATAGCATTGAAGGCATGCCCTGATTGACTACCCAAACTTAAAACTTTTGCACCCGAAAATATTATAAAGGCTGCAGAGATAAATGAGTTGAAATCATCTTCATTTGCTACAAACAGTTGCAAAAATCTTCAGAACTTTGAGAAGAAAGTGAATTTACTGACTTCATCTCATGGCCAAGAAGAAAGTCAGTGAAAAAAAAGGTCCCTTTCCCAGATTTACTGTTGTTCATCCAAGTTTTGTACAGCAATCAACAAGAGGGGAAAGAGTAGATACATTATGTTGGATTTCATGGTAACATGTTCCAACTACTTTTGCAACTGGTTGTAGTGATCAAACCTCAGTTTTAGTATATACTAAAACAACTAGTGTTGGTGGCTAGCAGTGAATATTTCACATCTCAGTAAATATCCACCACAAGCCACTTCCACCTCCATGAATAGTTGTTAATCATCACTACTTCTTAGAAATTGGTACCAGCAGTGGTATGGGGGAGAGCACAAAGTGTAATTAATCAAAATGTACCTAATCCCACAGTCATTTCTTATCAGGAATGGCACAATCAAATACATTCTAGGCACTCAACAAAATTAACTAGGCACAGCAGAAAGCTTATGTTTATTTGCAACAGTGAGCTTGGTAATCATTTACCAATAGTCCAAACAAATTTGGCAATGACATAGTTTAGAGCATAGCATATCACAGAATACAGAATACAGAATAAAAACTGAATTAGAACACAACTTGAGTGCCACAACCGCAGACTTTCACAGTATACTCACTTAGTGGTCACAAGTGCACATTAACTGAGAGCTTTCAATTAATTACGAAACTGTAATTAGCTAGTGTAGCAGCTAACAAAATTTTAATGTTTCAAGTACACATTTATGTTGTTTCCTCATCCCTAAAATGGTATGCAAGGATAACTACGAGTTTGTACAACAACCAAAACCAAAACCAAGGTATTTAAGAACTTATTATAACAGGAAAACTGTAAAACAGAATTTCTAACATGTAGCAGGACAAACATACATGCAAGTTTGAAAGCAAGTTAAGTACCATGGATTAAAGTCATTCAGGCCACTCACGACCTCTACAAATTGTTGAGGGCATAAGGAAGCGAAGGAGCTGATATAAGGCAACGAATAAGACTTGTCACGTAAAACCATCAGCTAAATTCATTTATAACTACCGCACGTAAATACAAACTAACAAAGGATCTGTTTGGTCGTAAGAGTGCTAAATATAAATTTGGTGTGATCTTGCAAACGAAGGAAAATTACCTGCAACAGTTAAGTCTGTTCCTTTAAGAGAGCCGAATTTAAGAGTTAACTGGTGCTTTTGTTTGTGTCTTTCCAGGTGATCGTTGTTAGCGAATCTCTGTGAAGAGAAGAAGGTGAAAAGTTGGCTAAATGTAGGCTTACGTAAGGCTTGGAAACATCTACGGGTGACGACATCACTATAAAATTAAACCAGTCGCTTCCAAACTCCCCCAGGAAGAGATATATGACAGCAACAAATGGTACTCAGCCTAACCTGTCCACATCCAGGAGTCGTACACTGGAATGGTTTATCATCGCTATCCTCCATTTTGAATCCTTCCTTCTTCATAAACTCTCAGAAACCAACATTTAGAAGAGCCAGAGAAACCTCAGAACTGTCAGAATTTAAATAACCCATTAAAGGGTTGCTCTCGAGACCTTTCTTATCCTTTGAATATGGGTAAAAATAAGAATTCTACTCTTCAGAAAATGTAAAATTTCCCCTAAAAATGAATCTTTCCCTCGCGTCTCTTCAATGCATATTTTTGTCACATGACGTAATTACATGGCAGATTCGTGACGTCAGGACGCTCGCCTCGTTTTGGTGCCTCGGGCGGTTCATTTTACTTTCACTTCCGCTGTAAAGTAGTTCCTGATTGGTGGTCCGGGTGATTATGGCGATCAGCAAGTCTGACTTGTTCCGTTTTGATTGGGTAAAACTGCTAAGGCGGAAGTCTTCTAGTTATTTGAGGGAAAAACCCAATAAAAAGTCTAAACTTATGAAAAATAATGATAACGATTACAAAGGTCATCAAAATTCAAACTGCTTATCAAAAGTACATAATTTTAGATTAACTTTGCGGAATAAATGATAAACTCAAAATGAGAAAGAAAAAAGGTCAGCTAATTAGTGAGCGTATAAAAATACCTCTTGTTGCAGCGTTTGGATCACCCTTGGTGAAGGCACTAGACAAGAGTGTCGAAACGTTGGGTCTATGAATTGTAACTTCTCGGTTACATTCATTAAATCTTTAAACCAGAGTAACATCAAACCATGTCTGATTGTCCACCTGGTTGCCATGTGAACTAAGGTATTTTAATGGTGTTTCGTGTATAAGATAAAAAATAAATAGCTTCCAGTCCTAGCGGTGAGTCCATATCTTCTTCTTTAGTGATAAACATACGGTGGAAACCCCTCTATTACGAGTCACCTCGGAAACTGTTTTTGTTGTGGTTGTACTGAGAGACAGAAAGAGTGTAGAATCTTTGTTACTCCGGCCTGGGCTCTGAACTGGAAGGAATCAGGCGAAAGGCTGGCGATTACGACGATGAAAGCATTACCAAAATTTTAGTAATTTAGTGGTTTAACATGGAAGGCCACATGCAATTTTGATTTGTTTTATTTTTACCTTTTCAGGCATACTAAGTATCGACATAGTTATCAGAATCAAGACTGCTGACCACAAAGGTGCTAAGATGCGTAAATGTATCACCTTCAGAGGTAAAGGAGTAAATAATTTGGCGAAAATGAAAATAAAAGGCCGGTTTCATCTCCAAACGCCTGACGTGAAAACTTTTCGGTCGAGCTGAAACCACCGTTTTATCTCATTCTCACATCTCAGCTGGTCA